ATACTCTCATATATAATTTATGAAACTAGCTGCCATTTTTCAATGATTAGGATCTCAAAACAAATGGTAATAGAGAGGTGAATCCATTAAGAGCCAATGAATTCAATAGACAGATTCACGAAGATGTCAAACTGTTAAGGCTATCTTTAGTTTTGCTATTGTGATTGTTGGTTTTTTTGAGACAGTGTCTTGCTGTAGTCAAGTGCTCTACATCTCCAGCCCTCATTTTGGCTTCAGTAGTGTTGCATACAAACCACTCCCCAAATCTTTATATACTGTATGATGGGCTTGCATCTTGTGTTAACGATACAGGAGCTGTGGTTTGTTTTCCTTAGAGTGAGCTAATTTATTTCCTCTTTTTATTAGTTCTGAGTCTTTCAACTTATTAAGTTTTCCAGATATACAATCATATCATGTACCAAGCTTTTACTAGGCATTTGACTTGACTATATTCTAAGAATTAGACACATAATAAATGCTTTCCAACCTTTTTATCCTGAAGGAGCACTTTGTTTCCCTCAATGGATCCCATGTTTTGGATATATAATGTTACTTCCTGAAATTATTGTCATATCTTAGCTGACATTTACTCAAACTGCTTCCAAGTTTTCACCACTAAATATAAGAAACATCTTAAATGAATGTAATTATTTATATTGAGTCCCCTAAACGGAATTATGGGGTCAAAGAGAGTGTGGTCAAGGTATTTTGTTCTACATTGCCAAGTTTCTTTCCAGAAAGGTTGTTTCTACTCAAAAAATGTGAATGCTCAACTAGTCAGTCTCGAACTGGAGGTGTGGCTCAAGCAATAGAGTGACTGCTTAGCAAGCTCAAGTCCCTGAGTTCAAACCCTAGTTCTACCAAGAAAACCCCCCAAAACAAAAATAAAAACCCCAATCAACTAGTCAGTCTCTGGTCAAATAGTGACTTGGTATTTTATTGCTTTATAACAATCATCTGTATCCCATAGCTCTTTCCCCAATGGATTTGGTCTTTCAGTTTTGATTATCACTTAATATAAAGAATATTGGACTACTTTTAGTGCAAATGACTTCCCTTTTTAGATTTAGTATTTTTCTGATTCTTAATCCATTTAAAATATATTCTTATCTATAAAATGATATATCAAATTTGTCTAGGTATCCTTTCTTTTTTTCTTTTTATACAATGTTTGGGTCATTTCTCCCCCTTTCCCCCTCCCTTCCTCCCCCTTACCCCTCGCTACCTGGCAGAAACTATTTTGCCCTTATCTCTAATTTTGTTGAAGAGAGAATATAAGCAATAATAGGAAGGACCAAGGGTTTTTGCTGGTTGAGATAAGGATAGCTATACAGGGAGTTGACTCACATTAATTTCCTGTGCATGTGTGTTACCTTCTAAATTAATTCTTCTCAAACTAACCTTTTCTCTAGTTCCTGGTCCCCTTCTCCTATTGGCCTCAGTTGCTTTGAAGTATCTGCTTTAGTTTCTTTGCATTGAGGGCAACAAATGCTATCTAGTTTTTTAGGTGTCTTACCTATCCTCACACCTCCCTTATATGCTCTCGCTTTATCATGTGATCAAAGTCCAATCCCCTTGTTGTGTTTGCCCTTGATCTAATGTCCACATATGAGGGAGAACACACGATTTTTGGTTTACATTAATTGTACATAAGTATTAGCACTTCAAAAATATTTTACTATTTGGTATCTCCATTATTCTTGCTAATAATCTTTAATTGGCTTAATTTTTTATTCTAGAATTAGGCAATACCCCATTCTATAAAATGGAAGTTTTTAGCCTTCATGACTTTATTTGTTGGAAATTTCTTTGGTGATTTGTGCCCACATATCTTTCTTGAAAAACTGTAGAACCGCTTTGTTAATTTCAGAAACAGCCAAACAAAGAGAAGAAGAAGGAAAAAAAAAGTGAAAAACAAGAAAGTCTACGAAAATTGTGTTTGGAATGTACTTTCTTTACAAAATTTATTTACTGATCTAGAAATGAGGCATTTCTTATACTTCGGACATTGATTGACATCTTTCTAAATGTTATTCAATTGTCTATATGTACTGAGATTACCTTTCAGTGTTTTAATTTTGGATCGTCTTCTTTTGGTGAATGAGATCTTTCCCACCTCCATCAGTCTGTCTTCCTGGTTACCACTGCTCTATACAGGAGCTGTGGTTTGTTTTCCTTGGAGTGAGTTAATTTATTTCCTCCTTTAGTAATTCTGAGTCTTTTAACTTACTCATTTAAGTTTCCCAGGTATACAATCACATCACATATAAATAATGCTAGTCTTAGCTTTGAACACAATCAGTTTTAAAACAATTTATCTTATTGCATTAGCCAGAAATTATGAAAAAAAATAGCAATGAGTTACAGCAATTTTAATTAACCTCTCATATTTTAACCTTTAGTTTTTACTATTCTCATTTATTCTCCCATTCATCCAATACTTTCTGAGTACATTTAGACTGCTAGATTCTGTGCAAAGTGCAGGAGATACAAGTCAAAGAGGACACAATATGTGGCCTTGGATTTGAACTAAGTAGTCATGCTATGTAGCATCAAATAATTAGCCCAGCTATTTTGTTGTCAAATGCAGAGCCAGCCTCTGGTAGCTGCCCTTCCTTACAATGAACTATGAGCTTAGATTTTTTATTAGGATTTGGTATTGTCTTCCCCAGTGCTTTTTTGAGACAATCATCATGAAATTCAATTCTATATTATGTTTGTCTTGAGATCAACAGATTATTGGTAATCTATTGATTATTATTGTAAATTTCTATGACTACTCCTCATCCCAAGCTAAGTGCCAAGGCCACTCCCAATGCTTATTTCTCTAAACTAGATTTGGTACGCAAATTCCCAGAGTAACTGCCTGGATCCTTTTATTTGCCCAGAGGAAATATCTAGAGAGGGAAAATGCCCTTTGAAATGAAGATGGGTTGTGAGTGCAGGGCTATCTGGAAGCTGGGGCAATTTGAAATCTCAGATACATATGCTTATAGTTTTTCTTACACTTTGTACTAATGACCATTACTTATTTCAGGAAATTTAGGTTGTGCACCTTACCAAGGAGATTCTTTTATGTATTGCTCCAAGAACAGATGAGGTGGCATCAGGCAGAGAATGGGAGGGGTGGGGAAAGACAGGGAAAGAAAAGTTATCTTTGGTTCAGCATTGCTGGTTGCTGAAGCTTCTTCCATTCCCTACTGCCTCCCCCATCTAACAAGACCCAGCTCTCCCTCTGAGCATACACTCATGCAGCTAGGTACCTTGGGGAAGCAGAGCTCTTTTGCAGCTCTATAGCCCCAGTCAACACATAGTCCTCTTAGTTTACCAGTAACTGGTTTGGGGACTACCATGCAATCTATGCAGAATGAGGCCAAGAAACCAGAACTGCCTGGAATGTGGACAGAAGGGGCCTTCTCTCCTCTGGATGATGTCATGTGTGGATAATCTGGGATGACTCCAGCAATTGCATCACCAAGAACAGAGGCAGTCTTGGATAAAAATGACCCTAAAAAATTAATGGAAGGGGTAAGGAGGAAAGTCCTGTTTTGTGCTGCTATGACAGACACCCGAGGGTGAGAATTTATAAAGAACAGAAATTTATCCCACACAGTTCTGGAACCTGGGAAGTCCAAGATCAAGGTGCCTGCATCTGGTGAGGGTCTTCTTGGTGCATCCTCACAAGGTGGAAGATAGAAGGGCATAGGAGAGAACCCACTCCTGAAAACCCTTTTTCTGGCATTAAGCCATTCATGAAAGAGCACTCAAGACCTAAACATCTCCCCAAAGGCTCTACCTCTTAACACTGTTCCTCTGGGGATTAAGTTTCAATACAGGAACTCTGTAGGACACTTTCAGACCACAGCACCCTGGATCTGAGCTGCAAAGTCCAATCTCCCTGAAACCCAGACTCCTATGGAAATGGAGATAAGTAGCTTCTGTCTCCCTGGAATGAAGTGCGTTTTCTGGTTTGTGCAATGAAACATGTTCATTGGGTAACTAGCCTGTCTTTCCAGAATTTCTTGCCCTCAGACTTCTTGCACTGCAGTTTTTGGGGATAGACATCCACAGGAGTCAGAAGTACATCCTGCTTACTTCCTAACCCCAGTTCTGAGCAGATAGGGCACAACACTAATATTGGTCTGACAAAGTGGATTTGCAATCATTGTTTTTTCTTTTTACACTTGTTCTTAGCCAAAAGGCCAAGCAGCTCATTTTCTCTTTTTAGATGGATTGAAATAATGGTTCATCAGAGAAATGCCTGAAGATAATTACTTCAAACTTGTAGCCTCTGGGTGGGAAGGGTCTGGTGGGTGACAGTGTCCTGGTGCAGGAGCCATGAGGTAACGGGCTGTGCAATGGTTCTGACTTGTACAACACAGCACCGATTTCCTCAGTGTCCAGAAGGACTCCCTAAGGATGTGAACATACAGTTAGGTCACGTTATCAGTGTCGTAGAATAGTGGTGAGTAGACATACTCTTTGCAAAGTGAAGATTGTTTATTGCATGTGATGATTTTAACAGGCAAAGTACTACATAGGGGCTGTCACACCTACAAAGAGATCTTTATGAGATGCCTGCTAGAATTGAGCATTCATGCATACATTTTTCTTGAGGTCTCACTTTCCCTTTACTGGGTGAAGAGTAAACACAGCCCTCCCCTGGTGGTGGGAAGCCAGGGGAGGAATCTGCCTTTGGGGGTCATGTGCCTTCCCCTCTATCATCTCTCCTCACTGCTGTGTGTGTCCACACTTGCCGAGCTTACTGCGATAGTCACACATTTATACTCCGAGAATGCAGAGGTCATACTATTGAAGAATACAAGTCAGATTGCCTTTTCTCACAAAATGAGATGAAAAAAATAAATCTAAACACACTTTCAAGTGTCACTCTTTTTTAAACTTTATATATATATATATATGTTAAAGCTCTTTTTTAAAATCAATATAACTCTACTTAGAAATTTAAAAAATAAACTTTCTTTTTTTGGTACCTCTGGCATCCTGTGTTAGCCTTGGAAATATTTAAAAATACATCTCCCTAGAATTCTTCTGTGCAAATAATCAACATAAATAATATTAACATCTATGTTATATATATATAAAGGCCATTTCAAGGTTGTCACTGTGATTGCAGTCCTCTGCAGCCTCTGACAGTGATCCTAGAAGTAGTCAGTGACTTGTCCCTGTAAGCCATGCAGGTCCTGATCTGGCTGTGGGGAGCTGGACAGGAACTCACTGTCTGGCTTGTCCATCTGTAAACTACTTCTGGAGAATTGCAAGACACTTCCTAGCCCACTGACCAGCGACAATGAGGAGATCCAGTTGAGTGAGCTGAAGTTGGGCAGGTTGAAGAGGGACGATAAGGGGGCTGCCCGGCTTGCACTGGTGGGTTTCTTCTTGGAGTTCCCAGGATACTCTTCTGAAATAGCCTCCCCAAGCATGGAGGTCCCTGGGGCCTGGGCACCCAGTCCCTCCAGCAGGGTGTCCTCTCTAAACGGCACACTCGTGTCCACTGAGCCAGGCTCCCCACTAGCCTCTGGAGAGCAGGCTGGCTGCTGTACGCATTGAGGAGTTTGTGACACACAGTCCTTGGAGAGGGATTTGGGGGGATTCATGTTCCCTTCTGAGAGCTCAGTACTTGGGTCTTCTGGGAGGTGTCCCTGAGCAAAGGTGTCTTCAGGAATGCTGGGTTTCCTGGGGGATTTCTTGGCTGATTGGCGTCCCAGCTGGAGTTGAGTGGGGAAAAGACTTCCCTGGAGAGCTCTGAAAAACAGCCTGGAAAGAGCATAAGAAAAAGTCAGATACAGCTGTGGGTGGAAACCTCTGGCTTCCTGAGACTTACACAGGACACCAGCATGGTGATGCAGAGGTAGGTGCTCTGCACTCTTTTGGGACTTGGGGACATCATGTCTGACACCCACCTGGGCAGCAGCGCGGTGACAGGTGCAATGAGGCAAGTCAAGTAAAACACAGGGTCTCCCAGTAACGTCTGCATAGTCCAATAAGGGTTAGATGGAGGGTAGCATGTAGCACAGGAGGTGTTGTAAACCAAAGCCACAGAGAAAAACAAAAGGATACTGAAGGCACAGGCAATCCAGTTGAGCCAGGTCTGAAGGGAACCAGAGAGAAAGAGCTTTAGCTTTCACTTCAACTTGAAAGGGGCATGGATGATAGCAAAAAAAGTGAATCAGTCATCATGAATGTTCGAGGGCCTTAGTTAAAAACTGGGGTCCTTGCGGGGAGGTTGGGGAGAGAGCAGTACTAGAGTTTGCATTCAGGGTCTCACTTGATAGGCGGGGCTCTACCACCTGAGCCATGGCCTAGCCCTTTTTGCTGTAATTATTTTTCAGATAGGGTCTCAAATTTTTGCCTGGGGCTGGCCTTGGCATGTGATCCTCTTACTTATGCCTCTCATAACAGGGATGACAGCTATGAATCACCACACCCAGCTATTTGTTCAGATGGGGGTCTTGCTAACTTTTTGCCCAGGTTGGCCTTTAACCTTGATCCTCCCAAATAGCAGGGATTACAGACATGAGCTACCATGCCCAGCAAAACTGGGGTCTTTTTCATGGGTACATGGTGGGGCTTAGAGGACTAGCATGGGGCAGGTCTGTGAGGGCAAGATAAGAAAGCAAGGGGAGAACTGCAGTGGTGAAGGAGAGGAAAGAAGGCAGGAAGGTGTTTAGAGATGCTCAGGGAAGTATACAGAGTGGACTGTGGTAGCTCCCACTACGAGGGGTTTGAATAGGTATCATTTTCCTTGTCATCAGCCTCATAGTCTCCTGTCTGCTCAAAACACCTAGGTCTCAAGGAACCTGCTGCAAAGCATGGAGCCCACAGCATTGGGGCCTTTTTGGGATGTAACCTAAGCAGCATCTCTCACCCAGGTTTTGGTTTCAATACCCAGGTGCAGCAGGAAGGTGAACAGTGCAATCGCTGTGATGGGGGTTCCCCAGGTAAACATGTCCACGTCCGAGTCATAGTAGGCCTGAAAGACAGCAGGGTCCCATGTCTGTGGGTGCCCAGACACAGCTGATGGGAAAACCTGGGCTGGCTGCCCACTTACCAGTAAGGAATGAAAAAGCAAACCAGGCTTTGGAAGGCAGCATCCACCATGTTTAACCAGAAGGCGCATGGCCGATATTCCTGGGACACAAAAACAAGCAGGGAGATTACAGGGGAGCACTTTCCTCAGTGACATTCTCTAGGATGCTATGGACCTTAAAATATAGGTCAAGTCCAGCACAAAGCTTGCTACTGCAGGACTTGGGGAAGGATGAGCCCTGGCAGTGGGTGAAAAACCACTAGGCAAAGGCTCACAGAGCTGTTTGCAGCTGAGTAGCTCATTGGGAACTTTTGTACCAAGTCAAGGAGCTACAGCAGGTCAACAGAGAAAGAGGAGGCTTCTCTCCAAATCTTATGAGGGAACATTTCTCTAGACCAGGAAGAGTGCCTGAAATTCTGGGCAGTCTCCTGACTTGAGCCCTTCTATTCCTTCAACTTTGTCAAGGTTTTGTGGTGAGTCCCTTCAAAGGTTCCTCACAAGTGAATCTTAAATTTTAAAATTAGATGATGGATGTATCCTGATGTTAATTATCAAAGGGGTATTTGCTATGATCTCAATATGGTTTGAGTGTGTTCCCCAAGGGTTAATGGACTGAAATTTTATCCCTGTTCTGAGGTATCAACAGGGTGGAAACTTAATCCGACCAGGGTATTTAGAGGGAAGTCTTTGTGAGGTGATTAGGATTTGAAAAATTCCTCAGTTGTAGAGCCCTGTCACTAAATATCAGTGGCTTTGTAAGGAAAGAGACCAGAGAGACACACAGCTGCCATGTGACAATGCACCCTGCTTCCAGACTATCAGCAACAAAACCATTACCAGATGTAACTCCTCAACCTTAGTCCTCCAGAACCATAATCCAAAACAACTGTTTTCTTTATTAAGTAGCCTGCATCAGGCATTTTGTTATAGTAATGCAAAACAGAGTAAGACTAAATTACATACCTGTATATAAAAATGACTTCAATACAGACATATAGTTTTTATTAACTGGGTGATCAAATTTGTATTTTACTCTAAGTACCAAAGTAGCTGGCACAGTCTCTGGCCTGGAGCAGATGCAGAGGGGATGGAAGGACCATTTACTACTGCTTAAAGGAAGTTATGGCTATACTCCCATTGGTCACCATCTCCATAGGACAAACTCACAACATCTTTGTCCCATGGCTGGCCAAGGAGACTGAGCCAGCTAAGAATGAGAATCCTCTTGAGATGACAGATACCAAGAAGACGTCTTCTCAATGCCAGACACATTCCAACAATGCAGCCTATTCTGTGGGAACTGAGTGTCCACAAAGGTGACCAGGAGAAGTTAACTTGAAAGCATACAAATTCTGAAGTAGAGTCATTGCTGCAGAAATGGGATGCCATGAGGGATCCAAGATGGCGACTAGAGGGAGGAAGCAAACAGCGTGAACTCCATAAATCAAAAATCTTACTGAGATGCTGGAGCCACACTTGGCAGAAAAAACTACCATGAAGAAGCAAAACTCTGACACCCTGAATCCCCAGCCTGCACAAAGCTTATCCACACCATGTTACACTGAGAAACCAGGAGGACTCCCACAACACCAGATGCCAGCTCCAAACTTGCTTGGGAGATGCAGACTAACAGGTAGGCAAATATGGTATTCCCATAGCCACCCCTGGGATAAACCAGCAGAGCCCCCTGGACAGACTGACTCCCACCCCACAAAAAAAACCCACTGAATAATAAACAAGGAACTGAAAAGGACACTCAGCAAAGAGGGAGGGGTGCTTTGAGCACACTGGAGAAGGGGGGAGAAGCAAGAAGCTGCTCTCCATGCAGACTTTCAGTAAACAAAGCCCGCAACAGTAGCCAGCTGACAGCAGGTGGCAGATGAGCTACCGCCTGAAATAGGTCAGATAGAGGTTCACAGAGCTCATGTCCTGACCCAACAACCTGGCAACACAACAGCGGAACTACTGCTTAAATACCAACACCAGGACTGGATGCTGAAGGAGTAACACCAGACTACTAAGACTGAAACTTCATTGTTCCTGAACCTGAAGAAATTTTTTTCTTACTTTTTCTCTTTCTCTCTAAGTGCTTGTCTTGTTCATTGCTGGTTAGTACAACATCTCTTCCTGTTGATGTCTTTGGTTCTCTATTTCTTTTTTTTTCTTTTCTGTCTTTTTCTTCTTTATCTTTCTTTCTTGGTTTCATAACTTTTACTATTCCACTTTGGTGCTGTGTGTTAAATTACATACAACAGGGACAGAAACAGCATCAAGTGGAATCATGGGAAGAAGAAAGTGGGATGGAAACCATTCTCCCCCCCCGCGAAATAAATTAGTACAAGATTCAGAGGGAAATGAAGAAAATGGATACTCGGTTCCAGACCCCAACAAAACAAAGATAGACTATCCCAAGGAACCCAAGAAGGCCAACAAGAACACTCTGAAAGAAAAATCCTATAAGAAATCACTGAGAATTTCATGGAGATGTTACTAGACCAGGACAATGGTAACCAAAACAGGCAGGAGTAGCAATACTTATCTTGGATAAAGTAGACTTCAAACCTACATTGATCAAACAAGATAAAGAAGGGCATTCCATACTAACAAAAGGGGAAATACACCAAAAGGAAATAACAATTATCAACCTATATGCACCCAACTTCATCAAACATACTCTGAAGGACTAAAAACATATATAAATTATGAAATAGTGGTAATGGGAGACTTTAACACCCACTTATCACCAATAGATAGGTCATCCAAACAAAACATCAATAAAGAAATCCTAGGACAGATTCCAAGATGGCGGCTAGAGGTAGGAAGCAGAAAGCGACCCTCCTATAGTGAAATCTTGGAGAGACGCTGGAGACACACTTTGCAGGCATAATCACCGAGAAAAGGCATAACTTTGACCCCTCCACATCTCCAGCCGGTGCAGAGAATCTCCACTTCACGTTAAACGGAGAAACGAGGAGGGCCCCCGGGCCACCAGTGGCCGGCGCCCATACGGCTTGGGAAGATGCGGACCAGGTGAGCTTCACGGTACCGTAGTACCCCACAGACAAGCCTGGGCCAGAGCAGCATAGCCCCCTGGACAGACTGACCTCCACCCGGGAAAAAAAAAAGAGAAACTGAGTAATAAGCAATAAGAACAGTTAAGACACACTGGAAAGAGGGTGGGGCGCCCTGAGTGCTGAAGATTGGGGGAAGGGACTCCTTCCCAGAACTGTAAATAAACAAGCCAGGCGGGCCGGAGAGCCTCTGGCGGGAGCGGGGCACGTGCCCAGCAACCAGGAGCAGGGAAGCTTGTGAGAGTGGAGGAGGAAAGACCCACTTCCCACGTGAACTGTAAACAAACATGGCAGCCGGCAGGAGCAGCAGCACCGCCCAGTAAGCAGGAGCAGGAAAGCTGCTGAAAGTGGCACTGGGAGGAAAACTTCAGAGGAGAGGGGCTCCCACATGAACTGTAAATAAACACGCAGGCCTGACAACGCGGGGCAGTGTCACCTTTCCCAGTGCTTGGAAAGGGGAAAGCCTATAGCAGAGGCTCCCGCACAGGAGAACTCTGAGCAAAGAAAGCCTGTGGGACCAGGTGAGCGCTAGCTCACCCCAGAGATCTGCATAAATAACGCAGCCAGCTACATGCTGAGAGCAGCAGGCAGGCAAGCCACAGTTGCAGATACCACTCTCTGAACTGTCTCCAGATGCTTTTTTTTCTTTTTCTCCCTACCTTTGATGAGAGAACAACCGAATTACACCTACAAGCCGAAAAACTTACTGAAACTGTATTGGGGACATTTGGTGGGGCTTTTTTTTTTTTTTGTGTGTGTGTGTGTGTGAGTGTGTAGTTTTGTTCTACTTTATGCATACCCTTTGACGAGACAACTACAGAAGAACATCTGAGGCACCAACTCCAGGACTGGAGATTGAGATGGACACCCAAATAATTAAGACTGAAACTGCATTGCATATAAACTTGGAATTTTTTTTTTTTAATTTTCTATTTTCCATTTTATTTTAATTCATTTTTATATATAGATATTACTTTCATTTACTTATTTTTTATTTTTTTATCTTTGATTTTCAATCATCTGTCTCTCTAATGTCTGTTCAGCTTACTGTCGATTAGTACACTAACACTCCCTGTTTATACCTTTGAAACTCTCTTGTCTGATACCTTGTTCTGCTTTCTCCCTCTTGTCTGTATATTTGTTTTCCCCTTTTCTTTAACTTCTTGCTTTCCATCTCAGCTCACTCTTCCATTCTAAATATTACTATTGTTATTATTACAAGCTAGAAAATAATTACACACAGTACAGGGACAGTAACAACACCAAGGACAATGACGGGAAGACAGAAAAAACAGGGAAACCAGTTTCCCCACAGCAAAAAATTAGTACAGGAACCAGAGGGGAATGAAGAGAACAGAAACTCAGATCCAGACTCCAACAAAATGAAGATAAACTATGCCAAAGGACCCAATGAAGCCCACAAGAATAATTTAAAAGAAGACATACTACAAGTACTCAATGAGAATTTTATAGAGATGATACTGGATAGGGTCAACCAAAATGTACAGGAGACACTCAAGAAATTCCAAGACAATAAAAATAGAGAATTTGAAAAAGCAAAAGAAGAAATAAAGGAAACCATAGAAGCACTGTATAAACACCAAAGTGAAAGAGAAAACACAATGAATAAATGGATAAATGAACTCAGGACAAAAATAGACAACAATAAAGAAGAAAACTGCCAGGATATGGAAAACCTCAGAAAAAAGAACGAAACAGAACTGCAAAACAAAACGGAAGGCCAATCCAGCAGAATAGAACAAACAGAAGACAGAATCTCAGAACTTGAAGATGAAATGGTAATTAAAGGAAAAACCGAAGAACTATTAATTAAACAACTCAAGACCTGTGAAAAGAAAATGCAAGAACTCACTGACTCCATCAAAAGACCAAACTTGAGAATCATGGGCATCGAAGAAGGAGAAGAGGTGCAAGCGAAGGGAATGCGTAATATAGTCAACAAAATAATAACGGAAAATTTCCCAAATCTAGAGAAAGATATTCCCATACAAATGCAAGAGGCCTCCAGG